TTCCAGGTTTTTTTTTTTTTTTTTTTTTTTTTGTCTTCCGACAGCTTGCCATCCCTAATGAATTTGATCAAAGCATTCCATCTAGCTTGGGCCTAACTTTATGCACATTGTCGTATACTCTGTTATCAGGGGCTTAACGCTTGGGCCCGACAAGTAGTCCACATAATGGTTCTCTGCAAGTCTGACTTTATAGCAGATGCTTGGTTTTTCAGTGCATCCGCATGACTGTTGTTTTTTCGACAGACTTGCTGAAGCCGACAACTGTTGAACCGCGCTAACAACTTGATAACCTCTTTGATATAGGCCACCATCCTCTCATCTCGGGCAGTATACTCTCTCATTGCTTGGTTTATGATGAGTTGGGAATCATAATAGACTACTACATCATCTGCTTCAACTGTTATTACTAGCTTTAATCCAGCAATCAGTGCCTCATACTTTGTTTCGTTATTTAAGACATTGAACCTAGTTTGATGGACTATTCCAATACTTGTCCATCCGGTGAGACTAGTGCTACTCCTGCCCCCATTCCTTGTATTTTTGAACTGTCATTGACAAAAAGGTGGAATGACTCGTCGATGTAAATATCATAAGACTTTGGCTTCTATTGTTTTTTCTTTTGGGTTTCTTTCGGGCCTACTGGCTTGGGTTTCTGCACTACCAGCTGTGTTTCCTCTGGCTATTCTATGCATCCTAGGCCAAGGTTGATGGGTCTTGGCTTCAAGCCTACACTCGATGTATACTCAACAACGAAGTCGGTCAGAACTTGACCTTTGATTGTTGGCCTTGGTTTGTACTCTATGTCATACTGACCTAGAACTACAACCCATCGTGTTATTCTTCTTGATAAGTCTCCATGTTGCAATAGAGACTTCAGCGGGTGCTCCGTAAGCATTATAATCTTATGAGCTTGGAAGTAATGGTTCAACTTTTCAAAGCCATCACAAAAGCGAGTGTCAATTTTTCAAGAGGCAAGTATCTCATTTTCGCACTTGCCAATATTTTGCTCATGTAATATATTGACTTCTGCTCTGCGTCTTTTTCTTGGACAACCACTACGCTGATCACGTGGTTTGAAACCTCCAGGTAGAGAAATAGTTCCTCTTCTAGGATTGGGTTTGACAATATGGGTGGGGATGTCAAATATATTTTTATATCGGCCAGGGTAACTTCTCATGCTTTTGCCCATAAGAAATTTGTGGCCTTCTTTAGTAGCTGAAAGAATGGCTTGCACTTATCTAAACTCTGGCTTATGAATATGTTCAATGTCGCTGCCTTGCCAGTCAAAATTTGGACATTTTTTGCTATTATTGAACTCTTCAGGCCAATGATGGCCTTGATCTGATCAAGGCTTACTTCAATTCCTCTTCTGCGAGCGGGGGTGCTCACGAAGTGACCTTACCTAATCGTACCCAAGTTCCCGAGCCGAGGCAACTTTGGTGATGACGGACACGTGGCCTCAGACAAACGAGTCAGAGTTTCCTAAATTCCCCCAAATAAATATTTAGGTGGTGACTCTGTATCTGGCAAAGCAGTCCATGTTTGGCACTTCTTTCTAAAAAATCTGTTTTCCAAAAATGATTTGCCAAATTTGAACTCTTTGGTGATTTATCAGTCTTGCATTGCACTTTGCAAGATCAGATTAAGAACCGTGACAATTTGAGTCCGAGCTGTAGTGAACCCAAATGAACAGAACGGGATTTCCCTCCCAGGGCGTTCAGGGACGTCTACAAAGTGGTGGATGGGTGGAAAAAGTCCAAGTAGCTTGGTTTGATCTTAAAGCTAGACTTCGAGAAAGCCTTTGATTCTATGAACTGGGAATTCCTATTCTCTATGCTGTCCAATTTTGGGTTTGGGAATAAATGGATTTCTTGGATGAAAACTGTGTTTCTTCAGTTAGAATCTCCATTCTTGTGAACGGTTCACCAACTAGCGAATTCTCACCACAAAGAGGTCTTAGACAGGGCAACCCGTTCTCACCTTTTCTGTTCGATACTGTGTTTGAAGGTCTTAACATTCTTTTGGTCAGAGCAATTAATCTTGGCATTCTTAGAGGAGTGCTCGTTGGGTCTAAGGATGTCATTTTGTCTCATCTACAATTTGCGGATGATTCAATTATCTTTTCTAAAGCAGATTGGGATCAGATGGTGCTTATTAAAAGAATTCTAAGATGCTTTGAAGTTTTATCTGGTCTTAGAATAAATTATCACAAAAGTGTGGTGTATGGTATTGGTGTGGATGATGCTCTCTTGCTCTCCTTTGCCAAACTCCTCAACTGTCAAGTTCATAGCCTACCTCTGAGATTTCTGGATCTACCTCTTGGAGCCAACCCCGGCAGAAAATCTACATGGAAACCTGTGCTTGACAAAACCTGATCCAAACTCTCGGGGTGGAAGAGAAAACTGCTGTCTTTTGCAGGTAGATTAATTCTAATCAAGTCCACCTTATCTAGTTTACCAAGTTATTTTCTCTCTTTATTTAAGATTCCAGAAGGTGTGGCCAAAGAAATCGAGAGGATTGAATCAGCTTTTTTATGGGGTGGTAATGACCTGAAAAGAAAAGTTCATTTAGTGAAATGGGGGAAGGCCGTAAAAAGCATTAATCAAGGGGGTCTGGGCATTAGAATAATCAGAGATGTCAATGCATGTCTATTGCTTAAATGGTGGTGGAAATTTGGAACTAAAATTAACTCTCTTTGGAGGAGGGCTATATGTAGCAAATACAAGATAGATGAAGCTTGTTGGAATCCACCGATAAGATTCTCTTACAAACATTCTAGATTTTGGAAAGAAATCTTATCTATTGGGAATCATAGCAGTAATGTTTTCAATTTTTATGTGGATAATTGTCAAATTAAAGTGGCGGACGGAAATAGAATTAAGTTTTGGCATGACAAATGGTGTGGCAACACTTGCCTTAAGAATGATTTTCCCCTCATTTTTAATCTCTCAACTGATAAGATGGCTCTCTTCATCAATACTTTGCAAGGAAAACCAGCCCAAACAATTGGAATTTTCCCATTAGAAGAGTGATGTTTACTTGGGAATTGGATGAAGAATCTAGTTTACTTGGCGCCCTATCTTCAGCCCCTTCTCTGTCTCGTCACAAAGCTGAATGTTATTTTTGGGCTTGTGCTTCTACAAGCACCGGTGAGTTTTCTGTTTCTTCAATATACTCTTTTAGTAATTCCATCCTTGGTCTTCATCTTCTAATCTATAATCATATTTGGAATAGAGCTTTCCCCCATAAGGTTTCTTTTTTCTATTGGTTGGCTTGGAAGAACAAAATTAAGTCAGCGAAATTTATGGACAGAATTGAGTGAATCTATCAGAGCAAACTTTTCAGATATGAGTGAATCTATCAAAATCAGAGCAACACTATGGCTAAAAGTAACCATTAAGGACCTTCCCTTCACAGTTGATGATTTAACCTTCAATTGGAGACAAATCAGACACTACAACAAAAAAGGCCTTTGGTGACAGATTGATTTTGTCTCCAAACATCAAAATTTCGTCACTAAAGTGATCTGGGACGAAAAAAATTTGTCACCACGTTCGTTGCCTATACGTCGTCACAAAAAGTACCTGGTAACGAAAAACAGTTTCGTCACCTATTTTTCATTTTTGGCGACGAAATGTTTCGTCTCCAAATGTTGAATTTTTCGTCCTCTAAAACACCAATTTCATCACCAAAACTAAATAATATTTTATTTTAATTATTTTTTGCGACAAAATATTTCGTCACCAAATATATTTTAGTGACGAAAGTTTTCCTCACCAACGATATGGATTAAGGTGACAAAAAAATTCGTCACTAAAATGAGCAAAAAAGAAAATTATTCAATGACAAAAAACATTTTGTCACCAAATATTTCAATTTAGTGACAAAATATTCAGCAAATGTGACGAAATTTTTTGTTTTGTACTATATCATTAGTGACAAAATTACTCGTCATGTTTTTGAAAACTAATAGCGACATTTTTTTTTCGTCACTAATAAAAATTAAAAATTTTGAAAATGGGAATACTATTTTCTTCTAAAATTTTTTCTTTTCAATAACAATTCCCTCTGCATTTCAATAACATGTTCAATAAAATATCTATTACAAATCAATACAAAAATCTGTTCATTTTCATAAACATCACAATCGAATTTTAGTACTATCTACAAAAATACAATATGAACTGCATGCGGATTATAAACATGTCTCCTAATATCCACAAAAAATGTCTACTAATATCCACAAATATATAATATCAACCGTATGCAGATTACCAAACACATCTCCTAATATCCAACAAAAAACATGTCTACTAATATCAACAAGAATAAAACATCAAGGGCGGATTACCAAACATGCCCCGTAATACTAACAAAAATATAAAATTTACAACACAACCAAAATACATGTAAGGTAATATGAACAAAAACATAAAATGAGCTACCATCGGCCATCCAAATTACCAAACACGTCCATATCAAATCTCGAATCTGCAAAAAAATGAAACCCAAAAAAAAAAAAAAAAATGTCAGTTACACAATTATTATCTTATCCATAACATATACAATTTAACATGCATTTTTGATTTTTGGACTTAGTTTTCAAACCGGGAGTCACGTGCTAGTTCCGTAAGTTTCCACAACTCACATTGGTCCATCCCGAGCTGTTTGAGGTGTTTCCCGGGCCGTCTCATGGCTGTTGCACGATTTTGGCCCCGAAGGTCTATTTTCAAGCTTAAGTGTGAAAAAAGTGCATTTTTGGACATAGTTTTCAAACCGGGAGTCACGTGCTAGTTCCGTAAGTTTCCACAACTCACATTGGTCCATCCCGAGCTGTTTGAGGTGTTTCCCAGGCCGTTTCGTGGCTGTTGCACGATTTTGGCCCCCGAAGGACTATTTTCAAGCTTAAGAGTAAAAAAGTACATTTTTGGACTTAGTTTTCAAACCGGGAGTCCCGTGCTAGTTCCATAAGTTTTCACAACTCACATTGGTCCGTCCCGAGGTGTTTGAGGTGTTTCCCGGGCCGTCTCGTGGCTGTTGCACGATTTTGGCCCCCGAAGGCCTATTTTCAAGCTGAAGTGTGAAAAAGTGCATTTTTGGACTTAGTTTTCAAACCAGGAGACCCATGCTAGTTCCGTAAGTTTCCATAACTCACATTGGTCCATCCCGAGGTGTTTGAGGTGTTTCCCGGGCCATCTCGTGGCTGTTGCACGATTTTGGCTCCCGAAGGCCTATTTTCAAGCTTAAGTATGGAAAAGTGTATTTTTGGACTTAGTTTTCAAACCGGGAGTCCCGTGCTAGTTCCACAAGTTTCCACAACTCACATTGGTCCGTCCCAAGGTGTTTGAGGTGTTTCCCGGGCCGTCTCATGGCTGTTGTAAGATTTTGGCCCCCGAAAGCCTATTTTCAAGTTAATTGTGAAAAAGTGCATTTTTGGACTTAGTTTTCAAACCGAAAGTCCCGTGCTAGTTCCGTAAGTTTCCACGACTCACATTTGTCCATCCCGAGGTGTTTGAGATGTTTCTCGGGCCGTCTCGTGACTGTTGCATGATTTTGGCCCCCGAAGATGATTTTCAAGCTTAAGTGTGAAAAAGTGCATTTTTGGACTCAATTTTCAAACCGGGAGTCCCATGCTAGTTCCGTAAGTTTCCACAACTCACATTGGTCCGTCCCGAGGTGTTTCCTGGGCTGTCTCGTGGCTGTTGGACGATTTTGGCCCCCGAAGGCCTATTTTCAAGCTTAAGTGTGGAAAAGTGCATTTTTGGACTTAGTTTTCAAACCGGAAGTCCCGTGCTAGTTCCGTAAGTTTTCACAACTCACATTGGTCCGTCCTGAGGTGTTTGAGGTGTTTCCCGGGCCGTCTTGTTGCTGTTGCACGATTTTGGCCCCCGAAGGCCTATTTTCAAGCTTAAGTGTGGAAAAGTGCATTTTTGGGCTTATTTTTCAAACTGGGAGTCCCGTGCTAGTTCCGTAACTTTCCATAACTCACATTGGTCCGTCCCGAGGTGTTTGAGGTGTTTCCCAAGCCGTCTAGTGGCTGTTGCACGATTTTGGCCCCCGAAGGCCTATTTTCATGCTTAAGTGTAAAAAAGTGCATTTTTTGACTTCGTTGTCAAACCGGGAGTCCCGTGCTAGTTCCGTAAGTTTTCACAACTTACTTTGATCCCTCCCGAGGTGTTTGAGGTGTTTCATAGGCCAGCTCATGGTTGTTACACGATTTTGGCCCCCGATGGCCTATTTTCAAGCCTAAGTGTTGGAAAAGTACATTTTTCTAAATAGTTTTCAAACAAAGAATCCCGTGCTAGTTCCGTGAGTTTACACAACTTACATCGGTCCCTTCCGAGGTGTTCCCGAGCCTTCTCATGGCTGTTTCATGATTTTGAAGCCCGATGGCATATTTTCAAGCTTAAGTGTTAGAAAGAACAAAACACTACTTACCTCTGGTGTTCAAATTTGATTTTCAAATTTCATGTTTGGTTTGATTTTCAAATTATACTGAAACATGAAAACACAATATAAAAGTAGAGGAGGGTAAATTCAATATATATACCTTATATATGAACTTTTAAATCAATGAATTGTAAACCTACTTATTGTAATAATATTTGGAGGATTCAACCTGAAGCATCATACCAAAAAAAAAAAAACAGCAAATAACTTTAACTCAATATAAAAAAAGCCTACAATAAGAAATCAAACGTATCCATTATATAAGTGATTCCTGCTAAAGGAAAAAAATCCACTTATCGTGGGAAAATAAAATCTCTTCAAACCTACTAATTGAATGCAACTCTTGGTTATTAGACTGGGTATAAAGACTGGCCCACAGGAAGGTCCACTAATAAGTACTCATTGCATTGGAAGATATGATACAACCCAAACTTAAAAGGAAACCCACCACAGAAATATTGCCTCCCACACACTAAGGAACATCCAGTGTACCACCAGTAATGCTAACTGTAAGGCATTGCCAGGTATTTATTATCAATGCCACATCCAGTACAACTAGAAAATATTTACTAGTGTGAAAGTAAGTATGGAAACTGATAATAGATGATAGTATAGTCAAGGTTCTATTTATAATCGGCAAACATTTTATGATGAAATAGTGAAGTTTAAAAGTGTCCTAACCTAAGCCAAAGTTCAGAAACCAGCAATTAAATAAGAGTCACAATACTAAGAACTAATTTGGCCATCATGTGTCTTGGTTATAGTTTGGATTTGTCTTCTTCTGAGGATCTCTCTCTAAAACCAGTTAAGTATCTTAGAGAGGATGTGACAAATACCATGGAAAACTCTCAACTATAGCCATCAAGTCATAAGATCTTAGTCATCCAAGTCCGTGGTTATGATCATATACATGTACCCACAAAAACACAGAAACAAAGAAGCAAGGCAGATAAAGAAGGTAAGAGTTTCATGCTAGCTTATACAATGGCTTAATTGTCTAAAAACTGTATCAGAATGGTTCTTCAATTACCATAAGTAATTCTAAAAGGTAAAATGTTGAAAATTGCATACTTACATGAATAATCAGCACAGGACAATTAACATATGGGATTTTGTCAATGTTCTGCACACAGTCAACACAAACACCATTTAATTAGACCCCCCAAAAAAAATGCATAATCTTTCAATCAAAATAATAGTATAGATAAACAGATGACCTGAAAAAGATCAATGTTACCTTATAGATGTCGAACCAATACGTACGCTTCACAGGATACATGACTCTTAAGCCTGAAAGTATAGGACTATGCAGAACCACAGCTCTCAAATGAGGAAGACGAGCTGCAAGATCCAACGTGGGGCCACTGCCAACAGATTGGCCGTAAAGGATAATATTCTCCTGCTTAGCACCATAGCTCTCCTCAAGACACTTATACACAGCTTCAAAGGATAATATTCTCCTGCTTAGCACCATAGCTCTCCTCAAGACACTTATACACAGCTTCAAAGGATAATATTCTCCTGCTTAGCACCATAGCTCTCCTCAAGACACTTATACACAGCTTCAAAGGATAATATTCTCCTGCTTAGCACCATAGCTCTCCTCAAGACACTTATACACAGCTTCAAAGGATAATATTCTCCTGCTTAGCACCATAGCTCTCCTCAAGACACTTATACACAGCTTCAAAGGATAATATTCTCCTGCTTAGCACCATAGCTCTCCTCAAGACACTTATACACAGCTTCAAAGGATAATATTCTCCTGCTTAGCACCATAGCTCTCCTCAAGACACTTATACACAGCTTCAAAGGATAATATTCTCCTGCTTAGCACCATAGCTCTCCTCAAGACACTTATACACAGCTTCAAAGGATAATATTCTCCTGCTTAGCACCATAGCTCTCCTCAAGACACTTATACACAGCTTCAAAGGATAATATTCTCCTGCTTAGCACCATAGCTCTCCTCAAGACACTTATACACAGCTTCAAAGGATAATATTCTCCTGCTTAGCACCATAGCTCTCCTCAAGACACTTATACACAGCTTCAAAGGATAATATTCTCCTGCTTAGCACCATAGCTCTCCTCAAGACACTTATACACAGCTTCAAAGGATAATATTCTCCTGCTTAGCACCATAGCTCTCCTCAAGACACTTATACACAGCTTCAAAGGATAATATTCTCCTGCTTAGCACCATAGCTCTCCTCAAGACACTTATACACAGCTTCAATATCTGTATTATTCTCACTTGGCTACAAAACACGGAAGCTATGTGCCATACCCAGAATAGTCATACTTGTGAAAAAGCAAACATAACTTAACAATTCACTTTCATCTAGAAAAGTTTTCGATTGCCACACACCTTCCCAGAAGACTGTCAATTTTCAAACCGGGAGTCCCGTGCTAGTTCCGTAAGTTTTCACAACTCACATTGGTCCGTCCTGAGGTGTTTGAGGTGTTTCCCGGGCCGTCTCGTGGCTGTTGGACGATTTTGGCCCCCGAAGGCCTATTTTCAAGCTTAAGTGTGGAAAAGTGCATTTTTGGACTTAGTTTTGAAACCGGAAGTCCCGTGCTAGTTCCGTAAGTTTTCACAACTCACATTGGTCCGTCCTGAGGTGTTTGAGGTGTTTCCCGGGCCGTCTTGTTGCTGTTGTACGATTTTGGCCCCCGAAGGCCTATTTTCAAGCTTAAGTGTGGAAAAGTGCATTTTTGGACTTATTTTTCAAACTGGGAGTCCCGTGCTAGTTCCGTAACTTTCCATAACTCACATTGGTCCGTCCCGAGGTGTTTGAGGTGTTTCTTGAGCCGTCTCGTGGCTGTTGCACGATTTTGGCCCCCGAAGGCTTATTTTCATGCTTAAGTGTAAAAAAGTGCATTTTTTGACTTAGTTGTCAAACCGGGAGTCCCGTGCTAGTTCCGTAAGTTTTCACAACTTACTTTGATCCCTCCCGAGGTGTTTGAGGTGTTTTATAGGCCAGCTCGTGGTTGTTACACGATTTTGGCCCCCGATAGCCTATTTTGAAGCCTAAGTGTTGGAAAAGTACATTTTTCTAAATAGTTTTCAAACAAAGAATCCCGTGCTAGTTCCGTGAGTTTACACAACTTACATCGGTCCCTTCCGAGGTGTTCCCGAGCCTTCTCATGGCTGTTTCACGATTTTGAAGCCCGATGGCATATTTTCAAGCTTAAGTGTTAGAAAGAACAAAACACTACTTACCTCTAGTGTTCAAATTTGATTTTCAAATTTTATGTTTGGTTTGATTTTCAAATTATACTGAAACATGAAAACACAATATAAAAGTAGATGAGGGTAAATTCAATATATATACCTTATGTATGAACTTTTAAATCAATGAATTGTAAACCTACTTATTGTAATAATATTTGGAGGATTCAACCTGAAGCATCATAAAAAAAAAAAAAAAACAGCAAATAACTTTAACTCAATATAAAAGAAGCCCACAATAAGAAATCAAACGTATCCATTATATAAGTGATTCCTGCTAAAGGAAAAAAATCCACTTATCATGGGAAAATGAAATCTCTTCAAACCTACTAATTGAATGCAACTCTTGGTTATTAGACTGGGTATAAAGACTGGCCCACAGGAAGGTCCACTAATAAGTACTCATTGCATTGGAAGATATGATACAACCCAAACTTAAAAGGAAACCCACCACAGAAATATTGCCTCCCGCACACTAAGGAACATCCAGTGTACCACCAGTAATGCTAACTGTAAGGCATTGCCAGATATTTATTATCAATGCCACATCCAGTATAACTAGAAAATATTTACTAGTGTGAAAGCAAGTATGGAAACTGATAATAGATGATAGTACAGTCAAGGTTCTATTTATAATCGGCAGACATTTTATGATGAAATAGTGAAGTTTAAAAGTGTCCTAACCTAAGCCGAACTTCAGAAACCAGCAATTAAATAAGAGTCACAATACTAAGAACTAATTTGGCCATCATGTGTCTTGGTTATAGTTTGGAATTGTCTTCTTCTGAGGATCTCTCTCTTAAACCAATTAAGTATCTTAGAGAGGATGTGACAAATACCATGGAAAACTCTCAACTATAGCCATCAAGTCATAAGAGCTTAGTCATCCAAGTCTGTGGTTATGATCATATACATGTACCCACAAAAACATAGAAACAAAGAAGCAAGGCAGATAAAGAAGGTAAGAGTTTCATGCTAGCTTATACAATGGCTTAATTGTCTAAAAACTGTATTAGAATGGTTCTTCAATTACCATAAGTAATTCTAAAAGGTAAAATGTTGAAAATTGCATACTTACATGAATAATCAGCACAGGACAATTAACATATGGGATTTCATTAATGTTCTGCACACAGTCAACACAAACACCATTTAATTAGACCCCCCAAAAAAAATGCATAATCTTTCAATCAAAATAATAGTATAGATAAACAGATGATCTGAAGAAGATCAATGTTACCTTATAGATGTCGAACCAATATGTACGCTTCACAGGATACATGACTCTTAAGCCTGAAAGTATAGGACTATGCAGAACCACAGCTCTCAAATGAGGAAGACGAGCTGCAAGATCCAACGTGGGGCCACTGCCAACAGATTGGCCGTAAAGGATAATATTCTCCTGCTTAGCACCATAGCTCTCCTCAAGACACTTATACATAGCTTCAATATCTGCATATGTATTATTCTCACTTGGCTACAAAACACGGAAGCTATGTGCCATATCCAGAATAGTCATACTTGTGAAAAAGCAAACATAACTTAACAATTCACATTCATCCAGAAAATTTTTCGATTGCCACACACCTTTCCAAAAGACTGTCCATACCCAGAATAGTCAAACTTGCGCAAAAGCAAACATAAAATTGTCATTACTTTGCTCAACAGATGACAGCATAACATTTTGATTCTTGGAATAGAACAGTAGATCATAACAGCTGCATTATTTTCCCTCTATTCTGGGTATTAAATTTTCCATTCAAGTCCTATAGAGCTGGGACATGAGATATGTCTATCAGTATCAAACTTTTGAAGCTACAGTGCAACCACTAAGGGCATGTACATATGTAAGAATGTATGCAAACTAAGGTGATTTGAGTTATATGATGAGAGAAGGCAAAGTTAACCACAAGGTCTGCCGAGATGAGACTTCTAGGGCAAAAGAACATCATTTTAAGTCAAAAATGGAGTGCGACAAACAACCTATAATATATAGGGCAGGACTATAGATCCGTAACAACATTCTTTTCATTTTATGATTCATATCTTATAAAGTTTTAAAACTTACAAACTCTAAATAAAGAGATAAACGATTAAATCAAAACTAAAGTCCCATCAATATAACAAAATCTCAAGTAAATAAATTTGCAAAAATCTGAGTACATTCCAATTAAACCCTAATGCCAGAAGGGGGATAAAATCAAAACTAACACATAATTAAACCAATTTTTCATTTTCTTTTACACTGATCAGTCCCGTCAAATCCATCGAAGCACCCATAATCATATCCCCAATTTCCTGTAAATTAAATTGTAATTAAGAACCAAAATCACCCACAGCCTCAGATATCAGTAGAGATAACCTCTAAAGTAAATAAATTTGCAAAAAATTGATGACATTCCAACTAAACCATAATGCCAGAAGGGATCAAATCAAAACTAACACAAAAAATCAACCAAAATTTCATTTTCTTTTTACATCGAATTGATCAAAACACTCATAAAATTTCCATTTTGAGTAAATTAAAAAGTAATCAACAACCAAAATCACCCACAGCCTTTAAGCATCGAGAGAGAGAGAGAGAGAGAGAGAGAGACTAATAGCGGTGTTCTCCGATCGGCACAGCAGCGGCGGTGAGGAAAGGAGAGGCTAACGGCGGCGGTGGTGAGAGCTGTCGGAAATGGTAGAGCGGTAGTGGGTTGATCCAATGTGAGCAGCGGCGGTGAGGGCCCTGTGTAGTATAACGTCTGTGTGTGTGTGTGAGAGAAATAGGTTTGAACCGAGAAATGATTGTGCGTCATTGAGAAGAGGAACCGATTGTAACAAAACATTTTTATTCCACCCTAAAATATTTAGTGACTAAATTATATTTTGGTGACAAAATTATTTCTTCACCAAAGATAAAAATATTGGCCACAAAAATAGTTTTGTCACTAAATGATATTAAAATATCATCAAATTATGGGTGACAAAAATATATTTGTCATTAATAATTTTATAATTGGTGACAAATTTTTTCGTCACCAAAAGTCTATTAATTTTTGGCGCACTCCGAAAATATTAGCGGGAAAATATTTGGTGAAAAAAAATAATAAATAATGACAAATATAATTTCGACACCTATTTTTTTTATTATGATTTAGATTGGTGACGAAATTTTATTTTTGTCTCTAAAAATGATACATTTGGAGACGAAATATGATTTTCGTCATTAAAAGATACATATTTCGTGACAAAAA